GGGATATTGGAGTTACTGACATTCATCTGTCACCCTCTTCAGCAAAGCTCTTCTCATCTCTGAAAATCCCTGAAACCCTCCCCATCATCGAGTGCCACCGAGATGAGGTTTGTTTATCCTAGAAGTGATCTTGGTAACATCGTGTCACAGTTTCAACATAAATTCAGAAGCAGACATTAATTCCAGTAACTTGTTCTATGAATAGGTGTTTTCATTGACATGGTTTTAATGGTGATCAGATAAAGGAACTCCCTCCTAAGGCAGAGGTTATAGCATGGTCTACAAAGACTGGGATTGAAATGTTCAAGTGTGGGGACCATATGATGGGCATCCAGGGTCATCCTGAGTACAATGATGACATTCTTCTTCACTTGATTGATCGCCTTCAGCAGCGCAATGACATTGCGGTAGTCACCACTACTTGATAATTAATTTCCCAATCACCCTTCCTATGCCCTGCTATGTATTCCAAATTGAACTAATTAAACATAAACTGGTTGTATTCCGTGCAGGAGTCTTATGCAGATGAGTTGAAGGCCAATATGGGAGCTGTGGATCCAGACAGGGAGGCATGGAAAAAACTCTGCATCAGCTTCCTCAAGGGAAGATTATGATGAAAAAACTTAGGATTTGGGTGAATGAAGAAAGGAAACCCAACAGTTGAAATAAAGAGGATGAAAGTTATGTAAGAAGCTATGAAGTTTATGTTTACATGGTATGTAAAGAAATTGGTGTCAGAGAGGTAGTTTCAGTAACCTTAGTCAAGGATAATAATTTTTACCTTTCTACAAGAAACATGTGCATATTAAAATAAACTTTAATCACCCAAAGCCGATATGCTATATATAATTAGAAAGCACAAACCTGAAAACAAAGTGTAAAGAAATAAGAAATGAAGACAAACTGCTTTTCGAAGATCTCGTTTGTGGGGCATGTTCAATTTATTTGTACTCCGCAATTACCAATTGGTGCTTGTTGCACCCTTGCAAAAAAGAGATGCAATTCTGTGAAGAATTGCAACTCTTCTTTCCTGGTGTTTTATACCACTAAATCATAAGACAGCAGCTGCTTTGCAGCAATTCGGTTGTCAGACAGATACAACCGTTCGAGATCTCTTTCTAACTCAAATGGAACTGTTTTCTCAAACAATCGTTGACAAGGTTAGCGGTTTTGTCTGCTCCTCTGCTTCTTTTTTAATTTCCTCGTTCCTCCTCTTGCAGACTTGCTTTCAGCCTTGATGCATAGCCCGTTCCCATCGTACATTGTTCCTAATACACCCATATCCTCCTAAAGATTATAAGGGCACAATATAAGACGAAGTATTGGTAAATAATTTAAGTACATTATTATTAAAAAATACTATATATGATTATATATGCAACAGTTTAAGGCAGGATAATGATGGTTTAAGAAAAGAGGCTCGATAAAATCAGGCACTTTTTGATTGTAAATTTAGGTTGTCAATGCCACTGAAATAAAGTTAATAAAAGTAATTTAAAGGCTTTTTTTCTTTTAAATCTACAAGTGTCATTTTCAACTCAAACCAGCACCTAAATAGAACGTGCAATGATGGAAGAAATATCGAACATGATTCCATTTTGACATCTAATCCAAGCACCATATCCCATGAAGATGGGAGATACTGACTGATTTTATTGTAGAAAACCTAGTCACTTCCCTCCACACAATCAAATCAGGCCCTCCCGACCCAGGAGGTGGATTACAGCAAGAATCCTCAGCAAAAGCACTCTGTTCCAACAAGTATTCCAATTCCCACTGGAATGTCATCAACAGGATATTCTCATAGAGGACAGTCTTCAAAACCAGACTAAAATTAGCCAAGACTAAGCCAACAGCTTCATTGGTCTAACGTACTTCCAATTTCCTTCTTTGCCCTCAGCCCCTCCGAATTTAACCAATTCAAAAATGCTTTCACGCTTGCTTCATAAAGATTTGTTTCTAAAGAGGGTGTGAGTTGAGGCCCCCAAAAAAGAAGTGAGCGTTAGTTCATAACCTAGATTTCCATGTTGAAAAGTATTGTAGCAATCGTGACTGCTACAATAACATACCCAGCAACAGGGGGTAAGAATGCAAGGATAACGGAACCATGCAGTATACATGTATAACTCTTACCATTAATGTTAGCAAAACACAAATATAAGGGCAGCTAACAGATATTGCAATGCACACAAAATTTGCAAATCACACTAGAAGTAGAAGTTTTACTAAAAGCCCGCCCAGCCAAACGAAGTCAGCAGCAGACAAAGGAACCATGCAAACACCCTCCGCGATATCAATAAGGCTAGAATCAACAGTTAGTTCTCACCAAAAATTAAAATTAAGAAAAAAAAAAGAAGAAAAAGGAGGAACTGCTTATTGAACAAACCATTGGCAAAATACAAATACAGAAGCAGCAAATATAACAAGCCATGGCAAAGTAAACAGAATTTGCCAATCACACGAGAAATATGAAATTAATTGAGAGATGCAAGGGGGATAGAAGAGGGGGCTAAGTGAAATGGAATAAAACAATAAACAGAAAACCATCATCCACATTCCACAGCAACTGGTCAACACACCAAGACACTGATACTCAAAATGATATATAATGGAATGAGATTAAAGTTCAATAAGTACCAAAGAAGTATGGTATTTAAATATATTTTCGGTACCCATGGCCATTATTGAATCAGAAACAGAATACAGTTCCTTCATCATTGTCATTATGAGCTAACTCAAAATGACAGGGCAAGTCCAAAAGCTAATATTCCACTACATGGAAAGCAGAGGGATGAAACTTAGGCAGTCAGAGATCCTGAGTTCTTCCTGCACTCCGTCAACATATCCATGTAGAACTGACACTTGCTGATGTCATTTCCATAGTTGCTAATGCACTGCAACAAAAAAGCAAAAGCAATGAAGAGCTTTAGCATATCATAGCAAAGCTTTAGCACAGAACTTGCACATGAGCAATTAAAGAACTAATAAAAAAAATTTATCAAAGGAAAATCATAACAATGAAGAATATATGATCCTCGCAAAGACATACTAAAGAGGCATCTAATCCCAATGAGGAATCCTAGCAATTGGTGACAACCCTCCACAAATTACATGATACAGAACATGTTTCAGTGCAGGTTTAGTGATGGCAAACAATTCCATTAAAAAATGTTTTCAACAATTAGTAAATGGTAGTCTGACAAAATAGACAGAAAGAATAAATAGAAAAGTAGACTACTAGACTTACATCCTGGAATGCCTTATAGTGGATGCTGCAAGCATCTGAGCCAGAAAAACTTGCAGTGGGTGCTGCAGTTGGTGAGGCAGCTGCTTCAGAGACTACAGTTTCATGTTGAATAGAACGAGGTCCCAACACAGCATCCACTGCCCTGTGTGCAACAGCACTTCCAGTGCCAAAAGCCATGCCTGTAACAAGGACCAAAAGAGAGAATGTTTCAGATCAGTCCTTAATTAGACCCACCATGCATGCTGGCAAGACAACAAAACAAATACTATATAAATGGTTTGAGTATTTCCCAACATACCCTGAGCTATGGTTGAACCAATGCCTCCGAGCATAGAACCACCACTCCCACTCTGAACGGGAGCTGGAGGGGGAGCATGGTGTACTGCATCAACATATTAAAAACATTAAAACCAGACCATGGAATGTATCACAGAAAGGCAGCTACCATGAAACCTCATATTACAAGCTAGATAGCCATACACATGATGTAGAAGATGTGAATACCTGGTTGAGGAGCAGGGGCAGAACGACGGGGGGCTGCCCGAGGAGCGGGTCTTCCTGAAAAAATAAGTAGTAAGAGAAAGGAAAATTAAAACCATTAGAATTAGCATTCCCCTCCTCTATGTAAATCCCTAAGATATGAGAGAGACAAATGCAGCAAAACTTCTAAGCCCACCCTACTTTACCCACATTAAAAGCTTAGAACACCAACTTAAATCCAATAAAACAGGCGTATTAGCATGAGAATTATACCAGTATTCTGTACCATTAAACATTTTAGAACCCCCAAAGAAAAGAACTTTCATGTTTAGATTGAAACGATACCCAAAACACACACCAATTAAATCATTTAAAGGTACAATTTCCACAAAATATAAACACAAATATGCTCCGCTGACCATTACCCTTGCACAAAAATTACAAAAAAACCAGAAGTCAAGAACTTCAAAACCGAGTTGCAAACTCCACAAATCTAAACCCTAGAAATAGAGAGATTAAAGGATGCCAGAACTCGATCGAAACAGAAGAATCGACGATGCAGAAAACCCTAGAAATCAACAAATGCTATAGCCCTAAAATCACAAACAAATTTCCACAAATTTTCTTTGAATACTTCTAGATCCGAGAGAGATTAGATGGGAAACTAACCTCCAGAGCTTCGGCGAGGCATGATTTCAAAATAAGACAGCGACGAGGTTGACGATTTCTTGAGAGTTAGGTTTGGAAGAAGCTACCCGAAAACTTGGAAATGGCTGCAATTTATAGGAGACGGGAAATTGTTTGGATGGGAACGAGAACAAGTTATATGGAGGACGTGTCAGGATGTGATTGGTAGAGGGCGAGAGCATATGTCGGCCGAATATTTTCGTTTCCCATTTTGTGATGGTCCTTTACCTTTTAAAAAATTATTCATTAAAAAGTAATCTTTTATGCAGTACGGTCGTGGTCTCGCTCACCATTAGTGTGCAGATAAAATCTACTGTGATTATGAGTTTGAATTTTTTTTAAAATAGGTATTAGTTTAATTTAAAATTTTTTATTATCAAAAAATATATATTTATTAAAAATATAAAAATTAAGATGTTTTAGTAATTAATATGTTAATTATAATTATTTATTGAATGAATTTATGTACACAATAAATAATTATGATGAACTTATTTAACCTCAAAGTATTTCGATTTTTTTGGCTCTCATTATTCATTAACATCCTCATACAAAGTGTTTAGTTCATTATCATTCTATTAGTTTTTATTTTTACTTATTATCATTGTTCTACTAAAAGTTTTATGTTCATTAATATAAAAAAAAAAAAAAGAAAAAACCAAAGTTTTATGTTCATTATGGTCCTTCACTTGAAGTCGTTAACTCCAAGTCATCGACTCCGTGACAAATTCTGTTAATTACCAATAGTGCCACAGTCACTCTAAAATGTGAAAAATATTATAATTTTTAAATCAACACTAATATTATTTTAATTTTTTGTGGTGCTTTCTTCAAATAATCTAATTTTAAATATTTTTCTATATAATTTTTATAGGTTTAGCACTTAAATTTTTTTGTCTCATTGATTAGTACTGATCATTTTTTAAATATTAATAGCTTAGTTCTATCTAAAAAATTAATATTTACACCAATGAGTACTGAGTAGTTATCTTTTTTTTTTTTTACAAAAAATAAGAAAATTTAAATTTAAATAATATAACATATAAATAAAATGAGTCAAAGGATGAGAATAAATTACTTTTTATTCTATAATGTAATCGATAAAAAATATTTGTATAGAAAAAAAATTATGCAGTTTAAATTATATTAAATTATACAATTATAACTATTATGTGAGAATAAATGAATTAATATTAAAAGTTTATCCTTTATTTAATAATTTATATTTTATAATTTAATATAATTTAAATTATCTAATAATTTTTATTTTATAATTTAATATAATTTAAACGATAAAAATAAATATTTTTTTATACTAAATGTCATATTAGATTATAAAATTAAGTCATATCCAACCTGAAGAGAAAACAACATTTGTTTTATTATTTATAAAATTTAAATTCAAAATTTTATTTTAAAAAAATCTAATTCTTCTCATTTAATTTTGTTGTAGATACTCTTAAAAAAAAGAAAAGAGAAGACTTCTGAATAACCTTTTTCCCCAAGAAAGTGCCAGCCAGATAATATTTCATCCCCGCACATATAGTCGAACCCCACCGCAAGGCGTAAGCAATAATAGCGTCGAACAGTGCCTTATGAAATTCGAAAAAGGCGAAAATCAAAAATTTGAAACCACGATTTCCTCCTCCATCGTACAAAGCAGAAACCATCTCCTCTCTCTTCCTCTCTCACCTACAGTCTACAGACGAGCTCCAAAATCTTTGTTTCCTCCAGTTCTGCTTCTCCGATCCGACTATCCATCCCTCAACTAATCGCCAATCAATTGGTCAATGGCCGACGAAGCAGCGTCCACGGCTCAATCCTCGTCTGCGGCGCCGCTGGGATCTTCGGTCATTCCTATAGTGAACAAGCTGCAGGACATATTCGCCAACCTTGGTAGCCGTTCCACAATAGAGCTGCCGCAGGTGGCGGTGGTTGGGAGCCAGAGCAGCGGGAAGTCTAGCGTCCTCGAGGCACTCGTCGGTCGTGATTTTCTCCCTCGTGGTTCTGAAATCTGCACTCGCCGTCCACTCGTTCTTCAGCTTATCCAGGGGAAGGTGTCGGATGGGGAGTATGGAGAGTTCCTTCATTTGCCTGGCAAGCGTTTCTACGACTTCTCGGAGATCCGCAGAGAAATTCAGGTGTGTGAAAGCTGGATTCGAGGTTGTTGTTTTGTCTGCTACAGTATTTGGATCGAAATACTTGAATCAAATGCATATGATAATGTCCCTGTATGTAGAGAAATTCCGAAAGTACTCGCTAGGTGCTCTGGTTATTCTAATTTTCTGGTTGCAATAGTTCCAAATTTAAACATAGTATAGTCCTTTTAACAGCATTACGCAGAGTATAGTTAACTAATTACCTAGGAATTGTAGGAATTCAAGCCACAGAAAGAAATTGTGAGACCAATTTGAAGCTAGAAATGCATTGATTTAAATGGACTGCTATAGACTTGAGCTGCACTGCAGGTAATTGTTGGAACAACTAGTTTTTGCTCAGGAATTGTTTTCCACTCTAGTGGAATGTGGAAATCATATATATAAAGTAAGAAAAAGATTTGTATTTTGCCTCCATAGATAACTGACCATAAAGGAATTTTCTCTTCCATAGGTCTTTGGCAAATTAGAGATTTTTGTGTAGAACAAATAGTAGATATTCTATAAAATATTAAAGAATTATCTCCTTCAATTGATTTCAAATTCATTGCAGGCTGAGACAGATAGAGAAGCTGGAGGTAACAAAGGTGTCTCTGACAAGCAGATTCGATTGAAAATTTACTCACCAAATGTTCTTGATATCACCCTTGTCGATCTTCCTGGCATTACAAAGGTTCCTGTGGGTGACCAGCCTTCAGACATTGAAGCTCGAATTAGAACAATGATCATGTCTTACATCAAACAGCCAAGTTGTCTCATTCTAGCTGTTACAGCAGCTAATTCAGATTTGGCAAACTCCGATGCTCTTCAAATTGCAGGAAATGCTGATCCTGATGGTAGGTTCTACTTCATCCCAACTTCTGTTACTCGCTATGTGATCTTTAATAAATTTACTCATATTTTTCTATTTATACTTGCAGGTTATAGAACCATTGGTGTTGTAACAAAGGTGCAGACTGTTATTTGATTCTCTTTTTTCTAATTTTTAAGTGTCCTTGTATATATAAGCATCTCTTTTGTTTCTGATGAGTTTTGGCATATTTATTTGTAAAACCAGTTGGATATAATGGACAGAGGTACTGATGCCCGTAATCTGTTGCTTGGGAAAGTGATTCCCCTTCGACTTGGTTATGTAGGTGTTGTAAATCGTAGTCAGGAGGTAACAACTTAGCCTTATAGGGGCAATGATATTATTTCTTGAATCCAATTATATTAGTAGGCCTAACTTTTATTGATCTGTTGAATGGTACTCTTTTAACAGGATATTCTACTCAATCGCAGTATCAAGGATGCACTTGTAGCTGAGGAAAAGTTCTTTCGTAGTCGTCCTGTATGTCTGTATTTTCTTTAATAATTTTTTTGTGCCTTAGTGAAGTTTTTTTTTTTTAGAAAAAAATAATTTTTCATCTTTTTTTTTTTTTTTGGTTATCATATAGGCATATAATGGCCTCGCAGATCGTTGTGGCATGCCACAGTTGGCAAAGAAGCTGAACCAGGTAAAGCACATTCCACATGTAGTCCCAAAGATCTCATGACGTTTAAGGAATTGTTCAGGCAATTGATGCTTCATTTCATTGTCTGGACCCTCTATGGACATGCACCCTTGCCATCTTTTTCTCACTCTTGCATACTTATATTTGAATATTTGAACATTTTTTCTTCTTATTTTCTAGTAAATTCTAGTTTTGAGTCTCTATTTTATTTATAAACTTATGCTTGAGCATGCCTTATGCCTTAATATCATCTTGATGGACTCCTTGAATGAATCCTTTTGCATCCTTTTGCTTTACCTGAATGAAGTCATCTCCATGGTTGTATGAGCTTAGAAAAGGCTTTATGCTGGTTGGATGCTTACTGAAAACCACTTTTCTTTAGTTCTGCCTCATGGCCTTTTTGCACATGTGGAACAGAGTTCCTGTACCCTAGAACTTCTTTTTTGAGTCTCTATATTGTTTCCTTTGCAGATTTTAGTTCAACATATCAAGGCAATACTGCCTGGGCTGAAGTCACGCATTAGTTCTCTTCTTGTTTCTGTAGCAAAGGAGCATGCAAGCTTTGGAGAAATCACAGAATCAAAGGCATGTATCAGTTTTTCTTTTGCTATAACTTAGTTGAGAATAATTGTTTCGATTTTCATCATATGTCTGGACCTGGGGAATGTCAATTAATTAGTTGAAATTACAATTTTATTTTGTGTTCATATTGATATTCTAGAGTTCTTATTGCCTGGTTATTTATGCTTATGCAAAAAAATTTTGAAACCTTTAGGCTGGCCAGGGAGCTCTTCTCCTAAATATTCTTTCAAAATACAGTGAAGGTAAATATTCTGACACTTTCTTCTTCTTCTTTTTTTGGCTTCTGCAGATGTTTCTTTTTTTCTCCAGTTAATGTTCTGAACTGTTTCTTCGTATTGCATGCATTTTTCTAACTAGTGGCATTGGCATATTTAAGCTTTTTAATGATGCCCATAATTAGTTTCCTGCTGGAAACAGCATTTTCATCAATGGTAGAGGGGAAAAATGAAGAAATGTCCACATCTGAGCTGTCTGGTGGAGCAAGGATTCACTACATTTTCCAATCCATCTTTGTAAAGAGTTTAGAGGTGAGTATGCTGATCTCTTTTTACCTGATATTCATTTGTTCTTTCGCCTTCTTCAATTTAGATCGATCTTGCTATCTATGCAGGAGGTTGATCCATGTGAGGATTTGACAGATGATGACATTCGAACTGCAATTCAGAATGCAACTGGTACTAGATCAGCACTGTTTGTACCAGAAGTAGGTTATTCTATTTTAAGTGTTTATCATAGTAACATTTTTGTTTGTTTTTAAGAATAAAAAGTTGCTCTGTTTAAAGTGTTTCTTGCAATGACTATTTGCCAAATCAGTAGCATGTTATTATAATATAGTTCCTATGTGCATAGGTCCCATTTGAAGTACTTGTTCGAAGACAAATTGCTCGTTTGCTAGATCCAAGCCTTCAGTGTGCCAGGTTCATATATGATGAATTAATAAAGGTATATGTTTTCATACATGCTTTTTTTTCTTTTTTCTTTTTCTTTTTCCTTTTTTTTTTATTTTTTTTATTTTTTTATTTCTGTTTCATGTCTCCATTTCTGGATCTGTAACTATTCTCTTTCCAGATTAGCCATCGATGTATGTTGAATGAACTGCAGCGGTTTCCAGTCCTGAGAAAGCGCATGGATGAAGTCATTGGAAACTTCCTACGGGAAGGCCTTGAACCATCGGAGACAATGATAGGGCATATTATTGAAATGGAGGTACTTTTAAGTAGCTATAGCTGTGAACTTTGCTGCTTCATACTCATTAATCAGCTTCTATCTTATGTTGCATGCATTAGATGTGGTAACCAGAGTATGGTTATCTTTACAACCATAACTTGAAGTAGTTAACATCAGTCAATTGGCATGACTTTCATAACTATTTAGTTGTCCAGGATTTAATTAGCTTTAAATTTGTGCTTGTTGAAAGCCATGTTAACTTATTTTTTGAAGTTTGAATTTGTAATATTATATTCTTGTTATGTTCTTTTGACACAACCACATGTCTGTGACTTTTCTGAGAAATTGATGTCTTTTTCAATTTATCTAATTGTTGGGGGAACAAACTTATTGGTAATGCTTTTGTGTTTCTAACATTTATCCTGTTACACATTATGCCCCTGAAGTGTAGTTGCTTCATTCTAAGCAGTTCAATTTTATAGATGGACTACATAAATACATCCCACCCAAATTTTGTTGGTGGGAGCAAGGCAGTAGAGACTGCAATGCAGCAGGTCAAGTCTTCTAGGATTTATGTGCCTATTTCCAGATCAAAGGTATTGGCCTCTCTGTTTCCTTTTGTTGATCTTATGCATTTTTGGCTAAGTTCTAATTACTTATTCCTATTGTTTGCCTTTTATCTTTAGGATGGAGTAGAGCCTGACAAGGCACCGGCTTCAGAAAGAAGTCTAAAATCTAGGGCTATTCTTGCACGACATGCTAATGGAACTCTGGCTGAACAGGCACTCACTGTCTTCTTTCTTGTCTTTCCTAGTTTCTTCTTTTCTCTCTAGTCCCAGTCCTTATGATTAATTACTGTTAATTTGTTCTAGCCACTCGTTTTTGTTTATCCAACTCCATTCCTGTTTCAGGGAAGTCGTCCTGGGGCTGATGTCGACAAAGTTCCATCTTCTGGTATTGTTTCAAATTAAAGCAGTTGTTTTCAATTTGTTTTACGCACACACGTGTTTTAACAGATGGTTATATGAGAATATGTTAATTTCGGGCTTCCTGATTTGGGGCATGTGGTTGTGGATTGGCAGTGTTGTATGCTATGATTTTTTTGTCTCTCAACTGATCATTCTTCTATTGCTTCTTTTTGGTCAATGAAAATCATTCTTGTATTATTTATGTTTTAAATATAATTATTTGACTGTTCAGGAAACTCAAGTGGTTCAAGTTGGGGTATTTCATCAATATTTGGTGGAAGTGACAATCGTGCTTCTGTAAAGGAGAGTGCTAGCAGCAAACAATTTAGTGAACCTCTTCATTCCATTGAACAATCATGCTCTATGATCCATTTGAAGGAGGTATGTATATGGATCAGATTATTTGTTTGGGACTGAATGCTGACTTGACCTAAATGTTTCACTTAAATTGGTATTTACTTTCACAAGCTGTTTTTGTTTCCCTCAGCCTCCAACTGTCTTGAAGCCATCATCAGAAAGCCATTCTGAACAGGAGGCTGTGGAAATTCTTGTCACAAAATTGCTGTTAAAATCATATTATGACATTGTTCGGAAGAATATTGAGGACTCTGTACCTAAAGCAATTATGCACTTTCTGGTAAATTTGAATGAGCTGATTACCTTACCTTCGATTCTTCTTTTATTTTTTTTGTTATGTATTTATCAACTTCCTATTAAGTACAACATTCTTTAGCATAATTCTTGGTTAGGAACTGAGGTTTGTTGACTATAAGAGTTCTCCATTCTCACTGCTGAGTAGGCATGAAATTATTTAACTCAAATCATGATTGAGATTCATAAATCATTGAAATATGACAATGTGAATTCGATTAAGATTCTCCATTTTGGCTACAAAATATTCTCTCATATGCTTTCTGGCCTATTCCTTCTTTCATTTGTTGTCAGAAGAGCTCTAGGATATGATTTAACTGCATCTGCTAAATTATACTTTGCTAGAACTGGGCTGTTGCATTATTATTATTATTATTATTATTATATTTTGGTATGGTATTCCCTGCTGAAGCATTGTTTCCATATTTATGTCTGTTTTTATCTTCTATTTTAACCAGGTGAACCATACGAAACGTGAATTACACAATGTCTTCATCAAAAAGCTTTACAGGTATTGCATATTGCATATCAGTTTGCCAAGCAACTGTTTTATTTCAATATCCTTCAAGTTGCTTACTGTTTCATCTCCCTTGTAATCTGAAACAGAGAGAACCTATTTGAAGAAATGTTACAGGAGCCAGAGGAGATAGCGACAAAGAGAAAACACACTCGAGAAATGCTACGTGCTCTTCAACAAGCTTTCCGGGTGGGTTTTATTAGACTCCATGTTAGATTATTGTATTTAATGGTCCATGCAAGAGATTTGATAATTTTGATTACAAGAGAATGAAATTTTTAGTCTGTTGTATCTTCCCCTTGGAACAATATTTTTCTGGAACGGTCTTGGTTTTGTTTTTTTTCCCTTTTTTGACCTTATGAGCAGTTCTAGTTTGGTGGGACACCTTTAGTGAAAGAAATAATGTTTTAGGTTCAAGATGTCTCTCTTATTACAAATTTCATATTGCAGAAGTGTTTTAGCGGACATCCTTATTCATTAATGTTTAAATGTTTGCAGTATCCTAGTTGCTCCGGTTTATGTTTTTCATTAAATTCCACAGGTTTAGAAAAAATTGTAATGCTATATACAATCCAGGGGGAATTCCACTCAAACTCAATTGACATTTTTTTGTTCTTTGTTTGGATTAGACACTTGATGAATTGCCATTGGAAGCTGAAACAGTTGAGAGGGGTTACAGTTTGGGGTCTGATCCAACTGGTCTGCCAAAGATCCATGGTCTTCCAACATCATCAATGTATTCTACAAGCAGTGGTTCCACTGATTCCTATACAGCTTCTCCCAAAAACTCCAAATCTCGAAAGTCATCTCATTCTGGAGAGCTACAATCACCTTATGCCCATTCACCTTATGTCCAAGCTGATTCAAATGGAAGTGGGCGTCATTACATGCCAGGTCCATATTCAAGTTGATCTGTGAGCCATTTGAATATGAATGTTGGTCAAGGCATCTCATATTCATTGATTTTCTGCCCAATTCCTCATTGAAGATCATTAGATCACACCATTTGGAGCTGGCTCATTACAACATTGATACTTCTACCTAGGTATCTGGAGGTCAGATATTGTGCATTTACCTTGTTGCTCCATATACTTTTTCCTTGTGGTTCTTAATACTATAATGTTAAGATCGATTGTTTGGAAGCTCCATAAAGCATAACTGCGAGTATATTTACCCTATACCTACTGCCAGGAATAATAATTTTTCACTTCTTATCATATCATCTTTACCGCAATCCTTTAATTTAAGTATATTGTTGACGTTAGTCCAGAGTACCCTGCTCCACTACGTGGATGGAGTTCTTGTATTCTAGTTCCATGCTGTTTGAGTTCATGTCATTTTATGTATTGATCTCAAGTCGAAATTTTTGTCTGACGATGGATTACTATTATACTTATACAAACAGTTTATGTAACTCTTATCCTACTCACTAGGGGTGGCAATTTCCTCTTAAACTTGTGGAGGTTCGCCTCGCTACGGGAATGAAGATTTTAAGAATATTCTTCTCTATAGGCAGAGATGGAGATATTTTTTTTCTCGTGAAATTTTATGAGAAATATTTTTCGTCTTGTGGGTATCTACGTATATCCATATATAATAAAAAAATATAAATATATATATATATATATATTTGTAAATATACTATCTATTAATTTTTAGTTACTCAATTCAATTGAGTAACCCAACTCAACTTAAATTGCCCAATTTCTTGTCCAATCTTCCCAAACCCAATTTAATACAATAAGTACACTGCAAATTGCAAATTACAATTACCAATTGCACGTTAACGGCTAATTGCCAATTGCACGTTGCAGTTTTTGCATTTTTTTTTCCTATCAACATGCTGCTGGAGCTGGAGCTTGCTGCAACTAAACATTGCTTTGTTGGACTGTATGTGTAATGTATTTATTTGTTTAAATTGTTTTAAATTTTTATTTTTATTTTTTAATTTATAGGAAAAAAAGGGGGTTAAATTTTATATTTTTGATATTTGGTGGGGACTTCGTATATCCACATGGATCCATTATTCCCCGCGGATATGGGAACGAAGTTTATTTTTGATTCTTCGTTAAAAATCCCTATGAGGATTCTCATATCCACATTGACGGGGATGGGATGGAGATAGGGAGGGGGTCCTATCCATGTAGGAACCTGTTGCCATCCCTACTATTCATCCATCTCAATATTTGAATTTATAATTTGAATTTATAATTTCTAATATAGAGATATGAAGCTCTTAATAATTGAAACATTAATAGTTTATGAAATTCTTTCATGTTTGAACTAGTTGAAAATGATATGGAAGAAGACTCTAGCCATAATGGAGGTTTTATACTTGTATAAAGGAAGATCTAAGGTCTCTCCAGTCACTCCATCTTTCCTTCACTTTTAGGCTATTGCTCGAGTTTATATTATCTATTCAAATGCAATTAATTGTCAATGACCAATAGTTGATAAAAATATCTTTGTAAACATAGTATTAAGTTACTTAAATGTAACAATTATCTTCTCAAACATCCGATTCAAATGTTTGAGGCCAACAACTATCAACTGTTTTTTAACTACAAAAACAAGCACCCACTAATTGTTGCTTATAAGCTTATATACGTCGGCATTAACTAATTTCAAAGCTTAAATTTTGTGGTTGGGGATAAGATTCAAACTCCTACAATCCAATGCGCTTATTTCCTTTGGTGATAAAAAAGGTGTTATTCAAGTGATTCTTTTGTAAACCTCCCAACTCACAACTACAATTTAAATACTTCATTGAGTTCAAATCAAGCATCATACAGAAAATTAGGTGTTTTTCACTTCTTCGGCCAACAAAAGACCTGTGCATTAAACTTGAAACTTTTTTAGTTGAAAAATTGAGCACTCTGTTGTTTGCTGCATAATATTACATGTAACATAATATGGCAATTGATTTAGTATTATATAGTTGATTTTTAAAAAAAATTTTAATTGAAAACTACACTTGATATTAAATATATTTATTTATTTAATGTCACAATGACACAACAAAGTCCATCTTAGTCACAGGCATTTATCAGCTACTAGCCGACTGGCTTTAGTTGCTCACCGGGGACTGCATATTCATTCTCCGTGATAACCGACGGATTTACCCCTCCCCGTTTCCTTCTCAGTCTCTGTTTCATTCGCCGCCACCTGCAGCACGACCGTCGGCGGCATATATCCAGCGTCGCGGCCACTAGTCCAAAAACGTCACCAACTACATCCGATTGCTTCCCTCCCACCGCCAATCTTGAATACCAAGAAAAAGTACTGCCTAATTGCCTCAATTTCATTTCGCAATTTATTTGGCTAATTTATATGGAGTTTTTTTCTCTTTTTTTTTTTTTTTTTTGAATAGACATACCTATGAAGTATGTCTTCAAGGCTTTTTTTTTTTTTTTTTCTCTTTTTACTTCCCCCTTTCGTGCTGACAGAGTAACGGAATTAACTAACTCAGTTTAGCGTAAATATATGAACATTGGACCGCTTTCTTCTCTTCCATGAAACCTTTGTTAAACCCTTTTCTCTACTGTGCCAACAAACACCAAGAAAACAATTTTGCTAAGAAAATATCATCATTTTCCCAAGAAAACCATGATGGTGCCGAGGAATTTGAGACGCAGCTTTCGAGATTTGCAGCTACAGCGAAACTTCGGAATCACCCCTAAACGTGTTCTTTTCTCTATCTTCTTCTATGCTCTGAAAATGGTTTTAACTCAAATCTACTGCCCCTACACAAACGATTTTTTAATGTGCATTGTTGATCTGACAGTCTCCCGTTCTTCACATCTCAAGGGGCAGAAATGCCAAGAGGAAGAGTCTTGCTTTTTTCTGGACATTGGTTTCAAGAAGAAGTATGAAGAGATGATGAGGGAATTCAGGGTCTTTGTGTACCCAGAAGGAAACCCAAGAACATTTTTTCATACACCCAAGAACCTTATTCGACAGTATGCGAGTGAAGCCTATTTCTTTAGGAATATGGAACAGAGTCCACTTCGGACCATGAATCCTGATGAGGCAGATATGTTTTTCATACCCATTTCCGTTCAAAAGATGAGTGAAAAGGTAAAAATTTGATGTTTCTTATGAGTTTGTTGATCTTTTCAAAGATTTTATGCCAAGAATTGGCCTTCTCTTCTGTATTTTCTGAATGAATTGTTAGAAATGTCTATGTTGAATGGAGTTTTTCTTTGGAGATCTTTGTAGTCAACAGATTCTTATGTCATTTATATTGAAAAGAGGCATGCTGTAAGGTGTTGTTGCATTATTTACTGATGAAATCCAGGAAATCCTGTTTCTAGTTCCCTCTGTTTATATTTTAATTTACTTCTGTCTTTTTCTGTTGATGTGGGTGTGGTTTTATGTGTAGAGGCTTTCACTCATGGATATGAGAAAAGTTGTGAGGAAATACATCAAGGGAATAAGTTCTAAGTATCCCTACTGGAACAATACATCTGGTGCTGATCACTTTTTTGTAAGTTGCCATCAGATGGCATTGAAGGTAACCCAAGGAGTTCCAGATCTTGTCAAGAGAGTTGTTCGTGTCGTATGCTATCCTGATCACAGTGATGGATATATTGAAGACAAGGATCTACCCCTCCCTCCTGTACTGCTGCCATTTGAATATCCAGCTGCTGGAAGTGATACAAAGAAGAGGTAATTTCAGCTGCAACATCTCTCTATGGGGATGTGTGTGCAAGTGCGCGTGTTTGTATGTCTTTGTGTGAGCACTAAATGGTATGCTTTCTTTGAAACACACTTATTTAACCATGAAAAGAATTACAAGCTCTTCGGCTGGAGTTATGTATATTCCACCTAATTAATAACATGAAATATAATTTGGTAATTCAGAACTCCTCTAAAGGGATTTCTTCATCCTATTTGGATTTTTCTGGGTGCTTATTTTACTGACCTTCAATTGAGCTTACGCAGAACAAGGTGTTAATTAGCTTGCTAATGGTTTCCTAATATCCCAGAACTAGACTGATTCTCTTGGGAGGTGATGCCATATCTGAAGAAATAGCTTTGCTGAATGATACAAAGACAGAGTTTTTCATGATGGACAACCACACCATTTCTATGCTGCGCAGAAGAACAAGAGAATATAAGAATATTGCACCATGGACACTAGATTACAACACAAGTAAGTTTTGCCTGTGTCCTGGTGGATCTGAAATGAGTGTTGGGCGTATTGCTGATGCCATTCACTATGGATGTGTTCCTGGTAAGACACCTTAAAGCACATAAGAGGTCAAGTTTCTGAATTTATGTTATCCACTTGTCTTTCTAAGTTGTTCCTGTCAGTTAATTTCTGCAGTTGTTTGGCCTGACCGTTATGAACTGCCATTCGCTAGCATAATGAACTGGAGTGCATTTTCTGTGCAAATCAAAGAAGATTATTATCTTGAATTCGATGTTTTGAAGTTTCTTGAGGAGATACCAGAAGCAGACTATAGAAATTTGCAAAGCAATACGGTGAAGGTAAATGCAATGTCATCAAACTCTTAAGAATGAATGCTTTAAATCCATTGTATGACATCTCAAGAGAGAGTTTGGTTTTCATGCAAATTGATGGCAGGTTCAGAAATACTTCCAGTGGAACTCACCTCCCATCAAATATGATGCATTTTATCAGATTATGTATCAACTATGGAGGAGCCTGGACCAAAAAGCTACAGATTACAAAATCACTTTAGCACATCCGGATTCTTAGGACTTGACAGTGTTTGAAGCATAAGACAACTGCAACTGGCATATACCTGTAAAAGCACACTAGACTAGATTGAGTGGCATCATCCTGTAACTAAACACAAGTACTGTTTTTTGGCTAGAAATTTAGTAAATATGTTACACAAACCTTATTGGAATTTAAATGGTAAGTTTCCTACACATCTTATTAGTTGGTTTGACTTTTATGTGTTTGCCTTGTAACTTTTATATCCCAAGCTATCTCCAAGCCTTTTGGAACTATGATACCCTAGAGTACTTAGTAATATGATACAACCCTTGCTTCTGTTGATGAGATTTAATTTGTTGATTTGAAGGTCCAAATTCTTTCATTTTAGAACTAGTTCCATGATATGGTTAGTATAAGGGTTTAAAGACTCCACCATCATGATTGAGGTTTTTATTTGTTCTTTTTACTTAGTATATGTGTTTACTTATTTAATGTCACATAATTGTTGTGAGGACATTGTTAACAAATTTGTTTTCTTATGGTGAAATCTTACCATCTTAAGTAACATAGGACGGATCTACTTTTGAGAGGGGTTAGACATAAATTATACCTTTTATCCAAAATTTTTTTATAATTTTAAAACCTTATAATTGTAGACCTTATTTATTAAAATAAAAATAATCACAAGGCATTTTAATTTTAGACCCTATTAGTTAAAAAATACAATAAACCCACCTAGTAATAAAATTTGGTTCCACCTTGGTAGGTGACAATAATAAAAATTGATTCTTTCTAATTTGTATGATGTGAGATTTGCTATGCATTACTCATTTCATATCACAATTATTATCAAATAATAGGCTATTTAAAAGGAAATAATTCTCATCTTCCCTCCACCCCTCCTCACCTATCTTAAGGTTGGAATTCAAGATCTCTAACTTAAAATCTCAAATTTTCAACCATTTGAGACACCCCTTGAATTCACCAACATAGCCATTATAAGATTTCATTTCAAGAAAACATCTTGTGTGAATTAACCCTTATTGCTATTTATGAGTTGTAACTGAATTTTGATAGGTAAAAATGGCCAATTTTTCATTTTAAAATCTTAAAAATTGCACTATTTGTCTCTTCTATACATAATTTTCATCAGAATGCTTTGCAACACATCTATGTTCTGTAAAAACGAAAAAAGAGAAAAATAAATAAATGAACATCCCTTTCACATGTTGTAGAGGAAGATGAAAATTTAATCTCTTCTGATGCATTTGTGAGGAAATGAGGTCCTACCTTTTTTTTTTTACTTTTTTTTACAACATTCCCCTTTATTTAGCTATTGCTCTTTGGCCTTGTTTCCGTTCAACCATCAAGAAGAAAATTAAACTTGAGTTGAGTTCAGAAATATAGTTGAGTGGAGAGAAATAAAGATGGAGAAATAAGCTTTTATTATTTTAGTTTTTTTTTTTATTTTCTTTATTTATTTTAACATATCCAAATGACCCAAACCTCCATTTCCCCAGTGGAAATATGCCCTTAAACAACATTAATTTAGGTTAATTGAGGCTTCATTTAAGAACATTTTACAAAACATATTTTTTTACCAGTTTTTTATCTAAAATGTAAATTTATCATTTTTAATTAATATTTTATACATTTGACTATATTTAATTAATATTTTTAGATAGCAAAAAGATCAAAGCAAAAGCATACAACTACGAGCGGAGGACAGCACTCCTAAACGAAGCTAGAACTAGGATGAAAAAAATTATTTTTCTCTCTTTCTTTCTTTTTTTTTTTTCCTTTTTTCCTATTTTTATTTCGTTCGGCTGAACGGATAACGGAATTAACTAACTCTGCTTACCGCCAGTATATAAACGTGGAAGTGCTCTCTTCTCTCTCCTCTTAAACCCTTCTCTGTTCTCTGCTGTGCTAACAAACCCAACCCCCAAGAAAAAAATTTTCTTGAGAAAATCCCATCATTTTCCCTAGAAAACCATGCCGATGCCGGAAATAGTCAGAGAGGTCTACGCGCATTTCAGAGACGCCTACGATCGTTTGAGGTTACCGCCGGTAACCTTCAGACCCTCCTTTCTCCGTTTTCTTTTCTTCGTCTTCCTTTGTGTCATCAAAACGATTTTTCTCGTTCAATTCTTCTGCGCGGAGATCGATGTTTCCATGTGCATTTTTGATCCTCCGTTCTTCCGTCCCCCACATCTCAAGGGGCGGCATTGCCCAGACGAAGAGTCTTGCTTTTTCCTGGACATCGGTTTCAAGAAGAAGTATGCAGATATGATGAGGGAATTCAAGGTCTTTGTGTACCCAGAAGGTGACCCAAGAACATATTTTCATACACCCAAGAAACTGATTCGACTGTATGCGAGTGAAGCCTATTTCTTTAGGAATATGGAGCAGAGTCCACTCCGAACCTTGAATCCTAATCAAGCACATATGTTTTTCATACCCATTTCCATCCAAAAGATGAGTGAAAAGGTAATAAATTTGATGTTTCTTTCAAGTTTGTTCGTCTTTCTTGAGTTTCTTTCCCTGATAATTCGGAAATGGTAGAGTGTTGTTGCATGATTTGATGATGAAATACAGGAAACTCTGTTTCTAGTTCCATTTCTTGATTTAATTTGTCTTTGTATTTTCTGTTGTTGTGGGTGCGGTTTTATGTGCAGAGGCTTTCTGTTGAGCATATGAGAACTGTTGTGGAGAAATACATCCGGAGAATAAGTTTGAAGTATCCTTACTGGAACAGAACACATGGTGCGGATCATTTTTTTGTGAGTTGCCATCAGATGGCATTGAAGGTAACCCAAGGAGTTCCAGATCTTGTTAACAGAGCTATTCGAGTCGTATGCGATCCCGAGTATATTGATGGATATGTTAAAGAGAAGGATCTAGTCCTCCCTCATATACTACTGCCATTTGAACATCCAGCTGCTGGAAATGATATAAAGAAGAGGTGATTTCAGCTGCCATATCTTCCTAGTGTGTGGCTGTGTTTGTCTACTACATTTCAGCTGCCATTTGTGTAGTCTGCATTCTCATAATTGACTCATTTACTACTATTACAAATCTCCTAAAATCTCTGAATATCTTTGACACATCTTGCTGGCCCCTGATTTTTGCTATGCAGAACAAGGTGTTAATTAGCTTGTTATGTGTTTCTTAATATTGCAGAACTAGACTGGTTCTATTGGGAGATGTTGCCATTTCTGAAGATATAGGTTTATGGAATGGCACAGAGTCAGAGTTTTCCACGATCAAAAACCATACCGTGTCATTGCTTCGCGAAAGAACAAGAGCCTATAGGAATATTGCACCACGGACTTTAGATTACAATACAAGTAAGTTTTGCCTGTGTCCTGGTGGATCTCAAACGGGTGCTGGGCGTATTGCAGATGCCATTCACTATGGATGTGTTCCTGGTAAGACACCCTTTAAGAATAAAAGAGGTCAAGTTTTCTGAATTTATTTAATCTACTCGTCTTTCTAAGCTGTTCCTGTGGCCATTAATTTCTGCAGTTGTTTGGCCAGACCAGTATGAGTTGCCATTCTCTAGCATGATGAACTGGAGTGCATTTTCTGTACAAATGAAGCAAGACGATTATCTTGCATACGATGTTTTGCAGTTTCTTGAGGAGATAACAGAAGCAGAATATAGAAATTTGCAAGAAAATACAATGAAGGTAAATAAATGCAATATCATTGCAGTCTTAGACTGAATGTACTTCATTTAACATTTGAAGAGAGACTATGGTTTTTGATGCAAATTGATGCAGGTTCAGAAATACTTCCAGTGGAATTCACCTCCCATCAAATATGATGCATTTCATCTGACTATGTATCAACTCTGGCAAAGCCTGGGCCTTCATGCTTCAGATTCCAAAATCAGTATGGCACTTACAGATTTTTAGGACTTAAGACAATGTTTGAAGCATGAGACAACTGCAACTGTCATCTCCCTGGTAAAAAAGCACAAGACCAGATTAACAAGGTGTGCCCATTGGCATCTTCCTGTAACAGCACAGAAGTACTGTTTTTGAGGATAGAAATCTGATAAATATGTTACACAAATTTCTTGATT